AATTCACCAGAGCCAGAGCGGGGAGCAGAGCAGGCAGAGGGACCGAAGTACACTGCTGAGGGGAGCAGCGGGCGGCAGGAGAGGTCTGCACGCCATGTGGGACCCTCCTTTGGTGGCCGGGGAGCAGCTGGGGATCGAACCGGTGCTGCAAAGGCTGCGGGCAGCTTCGCAACCCAGCGCTCAACCGCTGCGCCACCGGGGAGGCCCTGTTCCAGATCTTAAGGGAAAGGCTTTCTGCTTTTCACCATTGAGAATGATGTTGGCTATAGGTTTTTCATATATGGCCTTTATTATGTTAAGTTATGTTCCTTGTATCCTGAGAGTTTCAAGGACCTTCATAATAAATGGATATTAAACTTTGTCAAATGCTTCCTCAGCATCTATTGATATAATCATATGACTTTTATTTTTATTTTTGTTGATGTGTTGCATTACATTAATTGATATTTGGATATTGAACCATCCTTGTACCCCTGGAATAAATCCCACTTGGTCATGGTGCATTATCCTTTTGATGCATTGTTGGATTCTGTTGGCTAGGGTTTTATTGAGGATTTTTGTATCAGTGTATTTTACCAATTTTTTTAAAGATTTATTTATTTATTTATTTATTTATTTATTTATTTATTTATACAAGCACTGGGTACAGTCAGAAGGGCAGGAGCGTGAGAGAATTCACCAGAGCCAGAGCAGGGAACAGAACAGGCAGACTGATGAAATACACTGCTGAGGAGAGCAGCAGGCGTGGCAGGAGAGGTCTGTGAGCCATGTGGGACCCTCACTGGCAGCCGTGGATGGAACCCACACTGCAGAGGCTGCAGGCAGCTTCGCAGCCCAGCACTCAACCGCTGCACCACCAGGGGAGGCCCTATTTTACCAAATTTTTAAAGAAGAACTAATACCCAACTTGCTCATGTTTTAAAAAAAAAAAGAAAGAAAAAAATGCTCCCTAATTTATTTTAAGATTGTAACTAACACTACTTTAATACAAAAATTATCTTAGCACAAGAAAAAAAAATTTGTAGACCAATATCTCTGATGAGCATTGATGGGAAATTTTTCATTAATAAATAAATTTTTCATCAATCAATAAACTAGCAAATCAAATTCAACAGATTATCACAAGATTAATCATGATCAAGTTATCCAGGAGTGCAAGGATGATTAAATATATATAAATCAATTAATGCAACATATCAACAAAAGTAAAGATGAAAATCATATGACAATATTAGTCGATACACAAAAGCCTATATAAGATTGAGCACCTGTTTATGATAAAAACTTGAATCAAAATGGAATAGAAGGATCCTACCTCAATATAATAAATGCCACAAATCACAGTCCAGCAGCCAATATATTACTCAATGATAGAAAACTTACAGTTTTCCTCATAAAATCCAGCATAAGACAAGAATATCCATTGTCACCACTTCTGTTTAACTTGGTAATAGAAGTTTTGGCCAGAACTATCATACAAACACAGGAATAAAGAGAATTCATATAGGAAAAGAAGAAGTGACACTATTGCTATCTGCAGACAATGTATTACATATAGAAGATCCTAAAGACTCCATGAAAAAGTTATTAAAAAGCAAATACAGCAGGGCCTCCCCTGGTGGCTCAGCGGTTGAACGCTGGGCTGAGAAGCTGCCCACAGCCTCTGCAGTGCCAGTTCGATCCCCGGCTGCTGGGCAAGGGTCCCACATGGTGCGACAGACCTCTCCTGCCACCCGCTGCTCCCCTCAGCAGTGTACTTCAGTCTGCCTGTTCTGTTCCCCACTCTGGCTCTGATGAATTCTCTCACCCTCCCGTGCTTCTGACTGTACCCAGTGGTTGTATAGATAAATAAATAAATCTTTAAAAAAAAAAAAGCAAATACAGCAGAGAGGTTATAAAATCTACATACAAAAATCCATAACGTTTTAATATGCAAACAAGTATAATAAATCAAGACACTAATTCCATTTATAATTGCTTCAAAAGAATTAGATGCCTTAGAATCTGCTTAACAAAAGAGGTAAAAAAAAATCTATACATCAAGAACTACTAAATATTATTGATAGAGACATAAGGAGATGGAAGGACATCCATGCTCTTGGATGAGGATAATCCAAATAACTGTCCCACTAAAAAGGATAGATAAATACAATTTGCATCAAAATTCCAGCAATATTTTTCAAAGGAACCAAACACAAATATTGAAATTTAAATGAACCCATAAACAGCCTCAAATTGCAAAAACAACCCTAAGAAATAAAGGAAAGAAATGGAGTTATCATATTTCCTTACTTCAAACTTTCCTTTAAAGAAACAGTACTAAAAAACAGTATTGTGTTGGCACAAAAATAGATAGATGGGGGCCTCCCTGGTGGCGCAAGGGTTAAGACGCAACCTATGAAGCAATCCGCAGCCACTGCAGCACCAGTTCGATTCCCAGTCAGCCAGGGAGCAACCCACATGGCACAGCAGACCTCTCCTGACTCGCTGCTGCTCCCCTCAGTAGTGCACTTCGGTCAATCTGCCTATTCTGCTCTCCACTTTGTCTCTGGTGAATCTTCTCATCCCCCATACCTCTGGCCTTTACCCCAAGTCTTGTATGCATAAATAAATAAATCTTTAAAAAAATAGATAGATGGACAGTGGAACACAATCAAAAGCCCAGAAATATATACATGTAATTACAAGCACCTAATCTATGATAAAGTATCCATGACCATAAAATAAGGGCAAGACCGTGTCATTAGTAAATGGTGCTGGGAAAATTTGGAAAGCCATATATTAAAAAGTGCGGTTGAATTACTTGATAACACCATACATAAACATAAATTCCAAATGGGTTAAAGATGTAAGATCTGCAATAATAAAATCCATAGAAGAAAACTTTGGTGATATGTTCCATTATATCAACAATAAAGATATTTTTGGTGACTGAACCCTTATGACAAGAGAATTGAAAACTAAATAAACAATTGGGATTACATCAAGTTAAAAAGTTTCTATACATTGATAGAAAATGCAAGATAAATAATAGACACCCTACTGATGGGAGAAAATATTTACACAATATATAACTGATAAGCAATTAATATCCAATATATCAATATATTAAAAACCTCATATCATTCAATGATAAGAAATAAATAATCCTAATTAACAAAGGAGTATCTATTATAAACAGACAATTCACCCAAAAGAATATCCAGAAATCCAAAATATATATGAAAAAAATTTTGTCACTTCTTATAAGAGACAGAGTTTAAAACTACAATGAGATACCACCTCCCACCCAGGAGAATGGCACATATTAAAAAGACCCCCAACCACAAATGCTGGAGAGGACACAGAGAAAAAGGAAACTGCATGCTGTTGGTAGAAATGTGAACTGGAGCAATGATTATGAAAAGCACCCTGAATTTACCTTAAAAATCAAAAAATGGAAATACCATATACCTCTGTAATCTCACCTTAGTCGTATGTAGGTAGAATATGAAGTCATCAACAAAAAATCAGTATGCCTAGTTTTCACAGTAGCACTGTTTATAGTAACTAGGACATGTAAGCAGCCTTAACATCCATCAGTCATCTATGGACATTGGATCAAGAAGATGTTATATCCACACCATGGAGTGTTATTTTGCTATTAAGAAAGTGTGAGCTGGGCCTCCCGGTTGGCGCAGCGGTTGAGCGCTGGGTTGTGAAGCTGCCCGCAGCCTCTGCAGCGCAGGTTCGATCCCCGGCTGCTCCCCGGCCGCTCCCCAGCCACCAGAGGAGGGTCCCACATGGCGCGCAGACCTCTCCTGCTGCCCGCTGCTCCCCTCAGCAGTGTACTTCGGTCCTTCTGCCTGCTCTGCTCCCCGCTCTGGCTCTGGTGAATTCTCTCACCCTCCTGCGCTTCTGACTGTACCCAGTGCTTGTATAAATAAATAAATAAATCTTAAAAAAAAAAAAAAAAAAGGGTGAGCTACAGCCATTTTCAACAAAATGGAGAGGAGGGATGGCAAGCTCAAAGCTCTTGCTAGAGAGTTTCTGTTCCTTATAAATTCATGACTAAAACTGAATTCAGGCTCACAACTGACAAAGAGCCACAGAGTGCTTTGTGATAGAGTGGGTCCTAAGAGCAGGAGACTGGGTGAAAGAAGGGAGCTGGAGGGGTGATTGCAGTAACCTATGATCATTCTTCAAAGTATGACTCACCAAATGCCCTCCCATTTATCTTATCTCAGTCATGAAGCAGTTTTAAGCATTCTTGCTTTTGCCTGGGGGAGGTCATGTTGACACACTGCTGCTTCCCTCTATCTTTGTTTTGAAATAATGTCAGCTGTGCCAGCTCTGCTCCCCAGAGGGAGGAACAAGGCCCCAAAGAGTTTTTATTTTTCATCCTAAAAGTGTTAATTCAAAGGGCCCACAAAGACTCTTTGAGGCTGTCTTGACCTCAAACAGTTTTGGGTCCTACGTTCTATGTATCATCTCCCTCTTGTTCTCAATGAGCAAAGTCCAGAATGACAGGTGACTCATCAATGAGAGGATCATAAACAGAATTTTACCACATTCCTTATATGAGAGCTTTAGAAGATTTCACTTGTGTGAGGAAACTGACTATATTTCATATACCTCACAAATAAATGAAAAAAATCATGCTTTTTTAGTCACACTGAGTAAGGACTCAAAGGGACTGACATGGAACTTAGGAGACCTGCTGGTGTCTATACCACAGTCAGAGTCCTAGGTTTCATTCAGGGTGGGGTCCAGCACAGGTGGGTGTTCTTCCATAATGCCTGGTAGGGGCTGGGTTTCCAAGAGGGCTTGATGTGTGAAGAGCTGCCCGACTACCCCAAAGTATTTTCAAAAGAGCTTCACAACTCTGTGGAACAAAAAATTAACTTGCATCATATCTAATGAAAAGATACTAGACAGCTGGGGGGATTTGACCAGGAGTTTAGACCCTAAGAGATATCAGCATATTTGTTCATCTGTTTTGTTGGTATTCCCTCTATCAGCTGATCTTGCTGGTGCTTGGCCTGATTCACTTCAGTTTTCAACTCTTCATCATGATTGATAAGGGCATCCACAAGTATTGGCGAAAACCAAGGAACTGGCTGGAGGTAGACTCTCATGTCATTTTCTTCATGAAAAATAATAACAAAGTTCTTACTGAAAATAAAAATAACTAACTGTAATGGGAGATTGATGATACACTAGTTAATTCCAACCTACTGATGTTTTCTCCATCATGTCAATGCCACAATGGCATGTGAAATCAAGTATATCCTTTTAGTGCTCTAGGTCATTTGCAGATTGCTAGATACTGTGGTTATCATGGCTATTATCTTGGGAGCCTATATGATGGCCTTCTCTCCCCCACATTGCAGATCTCCATAGTTGGGACCAGCCTCGCCTACTACATTGCCTGGAGCCACCTGGTTAATCTTGCAGGGGAGGTGAAGGACCATTTCCAGAAAGGAGTTTTTCAAGGGTTTATGGACCTTAGTCATATGGCGTCATGGAATCAGGTATGACAGGGTGTTCAGGGCAACAGAAATAGGCACTATGCAATGTGATGTTGCTCAAAGGAAGTGGAATGCATATTCTAGAAGGTTCTAGTTGAAGGATTCATTCCATAGTGAGGGGAATGCACTGAGTTCGTGGATGAGGATGATGTGGTTTACAGGATCTTGGAATGTATTGCAAACTGGGGTCAATGTAATCGGTGTGACACCAAATTCAAGAGCATAGAATTTCTCCAGTGGGCTTACGTGACCCTAAGTGGCATAAGAAATTATGTACTTAAGTGGCATGAAAGGACTCAGTGATTTGCTTAGACACATCCTATGTTTCCTCTCCATTCAGATTATCCTCACAGACAAAGGTGGCGTTTTTGTTTAAATAGGTTAAATAAAATATATCATGAATCAAATTTTACCTGTTTGTCTTTACTTTTAAACATTTGGTTGGCCTCCCTGGTGGCGCAGTGGTTGAGCGCTGGGCTGCGAAGCTGCCTGCAGCCTCTACAGCGCAGGTTTGATCCCTGACCGACAGGCAAGGGTCCCACATGGCACGCAGACTTTTCCTGCTGCGCCCGCTGCTCCCCTCAGCAGTGTACTTCGTCAGTCTGCCTGTTCTGCACTGTGCTCTGGCTCTGGTGAATTCTCTCACCCTCCTACACTTCTGACTGTACCCAGTGCTTGTATAAATAAATCTTGAAAAAAAAAAAAATTGGCCACTAGAATATTTTCCAACCACCTCTAGTTTGAATGGTGTTTCTCTTGGGCAATGCTGGTAGAAGCTCGTCCATGTCTGTTTTCCCAGGCTTGGCTGAGTCTGCTCCACAGTGAACCGGACTTGCAACAGGTTGACAGTTCATCTGAGTTTGGATGTCAGAGCCTATTGTTGACCTAACGCCAACTAATGAGGAAACACAGACAAAAAGCCTATTCCTTTGCCATGTTGATTTTAAAACATTCAGCTTTCATTTCTTTCTCTTTGACTTTTAATCTTGGTAAGAATAGATGAGATAAGAAGAATAAAGGACACCTAAAGGTCCTTTTCCAACAAACCCGCTTGTAGGAAGAGAGAGCAAGTGTGGATTAGCATGCTGCATGTGGGAGTACAGGAGGTTGGTGTGAAACTAGTCTGCTATTGCTCCAGTGAGGTGACTTTCGTTTGATCATCTTATTTTTTCTTAGCCTCACACTGCACAAGTATAAAATCAGTTGCTTCTAGTTTTGTGAATATAGAATACAAAAATATGTGCTTTAAAAATGTTGTTACAGTGGAATACTACTTAGTGATTAAAGCGATAAACTCATATCATTTTAAAAACTTGGATTGAGCTGGAAGATATTATATTAAGCAAATTATGCCAGGAGAAAGATAAATACTGGATGGTGTCACTTCTATGTGGAATATAGGGAAACTAAACAAAGGGTCAAAGACAAACATTAAAACCTACCCTTGAAAGCAGACCACAGATCTAGGCATTCAGAAGGGGGGCAAGGGAGGGAGAGAGTACAGTGGACTTTGGTGGGGGGCTCTGGGTGCTTTGGAGTTGGGAGTGACTTCACCTGAGGGAGGAAATCCTATACTGTCAAAACTAAGAAGGATGTAAAACAATGGCACTTCAAGGGCCTCCCCTGGTGGCGCAGCGGTTGAGCGCTGGCCTGCTGGGAGGCTGCCTGCAGCCTCTGCAGTGCCAGTTCGCTCCTGTGCTACCAGCGAGGGTCCCACAAAAAATAAGGTACTTAAATTAAAAAAAAAAAAAAGTGCCACTGTTACATATTCTATGCATACTCTGTGAAAGAAAGGAGGGAGGATTCACAGACACTGAATAATCTCCATGTTCCCCTTTCTGGTGACTTACATTTTCAGTAAACTGAGGCTCAGACCAAGGAAATGTCAGGCAGGCTCTGTCCTGATCATTATAGAAATAAGAAGTTCAAAATTCAGACCTGGCCTTTCTGACAGTGTATTCTAATTTGTACTTACTCCTAGTTCTGACTTCATCTTTTCTGCAGACATCTGACAATAATGTTCCTCGGAGGCCCACGGTCTGCAGAACTACATCACCTCCAAAGAATAGCTGTCGCTCTTTTTCCTCCTCATGTGATACAGCTATGCACCCCGTAGTTGGTATGACACACTGAACCCATTGTCCTTCTGTCTCAGAAGGTGAGATGGCTCCAGGGGATCCTTTCATTCTTCTTGATATTGAAATGTACTTGTCTTCTCGGCATTGAAAAAACATGGACACCCTGCTCCTTCATGAGACACTGCTCATTCTCCAGCATCTTCGCACCAGTGGTAAGTTATCTCCCTGATAAACTGATACAATCACTCTTTCCAGTTAGCCTATTTACAAGGGAAAACAAACTTTCTCCAAGTAAACCATTATCAAGAATTCTAGTCTTCTAACCAATTATTCAGTGTTTTTCCATCACTGAAAGCAGCTGTCTAGTAAGTTCTTAAGTAATGATAATAGCCATGATTGATTAAATACTTGGTCTGTATTATGTGTTTTCATGGATTATTATTATTATTACTAATATACATTATCACATACTGGCTTTTCTACGTACGAGGAATGGTGCATGTGACCTCACCTAGTTATCACAAATAAGCTATGGGCAGGACTTTCAGAGGGAGGAGCAAGGGGCTGCAGGAAGTGGCCAGACTTGCCTCAGACCACCTCTGTGCACTGCATCCCATAGGGGCTGCTGCTGGGTCCCTTGTTTCTACCCCTGGCCCTGCATCCAAGGATCACTCTAAAATGCACTGGAACTCCTTTGTACTGTTTACTTTCCAAGAGGAATTGCCTACCATCAGTGGAACTCAGAAGAAAGAAAACACAGACAGGAGAAAGAACACAGGAATGGGCTTGTCAGGGCTCACCTGGAAGTCTGGGTCCTTGAGCAGCTTGACTCCAACCCTGAATAGGCACAAGTCTCAATCCAGGAATGCCCTGCTATCTGGTTGGACAGGTGAATACAGATTAGGAGGGTCCAAGTCAAACTTGAGGTCTTCACCAAGTTCCTGGGTGGCCAGTGATTCTGTTCTGGTCCCAGTGGGGAAGGAATTTGCTCAAACCCACAGGCCTGAGAGCTGCCCCATTCCACCCCTGCAGCAGGATTATCATGGTGGCCTGATTGGGAAATTTTGTCTCAGGATTCCAGGCTCATGTAGCACATAGGGACCAAGCTTAGATCCCTAGACCCTGCTGGTCTTAGGCTTGATGACAGGCCAGCAAACTGGGACAGAAACAGCATATCAGAGTGAGAAACCCAAGTGCAGGCCCTAACTATACCTGTCCCAAGCCTACTGTGGCAAACACGGGCCAGTTACCAATCTCCACTCCCAGAAACTCAACAAGTTGTGTGCCTGGGAGGTGCTGGGCTCAGAGATTATATGCATGTGGACTCACCTGGTTGTTAAACTGGCCATTAATACACCACCTAGCAACATGCAAAAATGATTTTTTGTTAAGAAGAGTCCAGAATGTTGATAAACTGTGTCCAAATTGGGTAGTAGAGTTCCAGCTGTTTGGAAATTATGTGTGCAGAGAACAAAGAGAACTTAAGGAATGGAGGGAAACGCACAGCTTAAGCTTGGAGATGGTAGACTCAAGGTTGTATTTTCTCTTCTGAATTCCACTGATGGTGATTCCACTTGGGGGCAAATAATGCTGGGGGAGGGGAAGTGGAGCTGGCAGGATGCAGCACAGGCTGTGCTGCAGCTGGGGCAACCCCTGCAGGGACAGTCTATACATACCGACCCAGGGAGACTGGTGTCTGGCCTACAGGTGAGAAAATGCTTGTTGCCACCTGTGCTTGTCTGGGTAAGGGGAGAGAGTGACATATATACTGGGTCTGTGACACAATCAGGACACTCAGACCAAGTTTCCAGTCGGTTACTACAACCAGGGAACAAACCTCACCTGAAGTAAACATCATTCAAAATTTACCATTTCTGTCATTTCTTAAGTGGTTTTTTTTTTTTAAGATTTATTTATTTATTTATACAAGAACCAGGGTACAGGCCAGATGCGCAGGAGGGTGAGAGGATTTACCAGAGACAGAGTGGGGAACAGAACAGGCAGACTGACCAAATACACTGCTGAGGGGAGCAGCAGGTGAGACAGGAGAGGTCTGCCACGCCATGTGGGACCCTCGCCGGGCGGCCAGGATCAAACCAGTGCTACAGAGGCTGAGGACAGCTTCACAGCGATGCGCTCAACCGCCTGTACCACCAGGGGAGGCCCTTAAATGGTTTATTTTACTGAATCCTTGCCAGGTGCTGGAGATGCAAAGATGATGAGAGGGCTGTCCCCTATAGGCGAGCCTGGGCTCCCACATTGGGTAGGAAGAGCTGTGTGGAGGGGGTCTGGGTTTAAAGGCAGAGGTGCCTTCAGAGGGAGCAGGCAGGATAAAAGGATGGTGAACTTGAGCTCCTGATAAAGAGGAGCAAATGGAGCTGTCATGGGGACTTCAGGGGATGAGGGACAGGAATATATGCCCAAGGGTCCAAAAACTGCTTCTCTAAGTTTTTTGTTATTTTAAGGCATTACAAAGTCCCCAAGTAGTCATGGGCACCTAGAAACCAGTGCCCATAAGTCAGTGGTCTTGGGTTTTCTCCTTGCAGGTAGTGGGCATCCTGATGCTAGCTTCCCTCTCACACCTACATGGATTTCTGCTCTTCACCTGTGTCCTGCCATCTGGAACCTTCTCGGACTCCTTCCATGGCCTGCTGTTTCATTTTCCAGGAAGAAGTCAAAGTGATACCTTCCATAGCCTTTCCCAGGCTAACCAGCAAACCATGGCTTGGTGCTACTGCATCATCTTTATAGTAATGGCCACTTTGTGGCTTGGAATGGTATGTGGACACATCCCAGATTTTGAAATCAGGGTTTGCAAAGATTTCATATGATGTGTAGTGAAGTTTTCTTTGTTCTATATGTTCCTTTCTGTCTGTAAGACCTTTGTGGTCACAAATCTCTGACACCCTTCAGGGCAGAGCAGGGACTGAACACAGTTGATTGGACTCTTGTGCTAGCCTTAGCAATTCCAACACCACCACCAGTCATTCCAGAGTGCCACCTCCTCCAGGGAGCCCCCCAGGTCCTTTCAACACTAAACCTTCTTGCTTCTAGCTTAATTTCACACAATCTCACTTTTCTGTAGGCCGTCTCTTGCCTTATTATGTCAAACCTCCATGTTATGAAAGTTTACCTCCAACAGCCAGCTCTCACTGGGCATGTCCTTCAGGTTGGGGATTGAGTATGGAATGGGGCTGCTGGTTCCCACTCTCCCACCAATCAACCACTTACAAACCTAATCATGTCACATGCCCAAGCCCACTCCCAAATAAACATGCTGGCTTAAACTCCTTCCCTGCCACCCTCTACTTAGGACTAACATAGTTAGCAAATAAAAATGATGAGTAAATTTCAGATAATAACAAATAATACCTTAATATTAGTATGGCTCTCCAATAGTTCAGACATACCTAATATAAACAAGCATTGTTTACCTGAAATTAAAATGTAAGTGGATGTCCCATTTCCATTTTCCTCTGCTCTCCACTCTTGTATAGGGGTCCTCAGATAGCAACGTCACATGTGCTGCCCTAGGGTTGCTAAACCCACATCATAGAGGGTAACTCTGGCAACCCAGTTTTCAGAAAACCCTGCAGTGTTTCCTGAAGAAGACTCAAGGGTGGGAAACCCTGCTTTGTGCTTGAGCAGGCACAGCCCTGCCCAGCCTGGGTGGAGTACCAGGATTCTGGACACATCACCACCTCTACTGCAGGCCCTCTCTGTAGGTGCCATCCTGAGTGGCCCCTGGGTGTAAGTCCCACAGATTCTTAAAAGACAGCATTTAGTATGGGGTCACCCTGGAAGCTTTCTCTGGTTCTACAACCCCAGGCCCCAGCTGACTGCCCCCTCACCTTGATTCCCACAGGTGTCAGCATATGCCTTCCCATTGCATCTACTGCACTTGCTGCCATTTCTATCTTCCCTTTGAACTCTGGCTGCATTCACAGCAGGTGTCTGGTGTGCCTGGCTCCTAACATGTTGTAGAGCACAATATACATTAATGAATTGAATATTCAAGCTTTTCAAATGGGTTAAAATTGTCTTCAGTCCTTAAATGTCTGTAGGTATTCCAGTTTCATAACTAGAGTAAAATTATAAGTGACTAGGGCCTCCCCGGTAACGCAGCGGTTGAGCGCTGGGTTGCAAAGCTGCCCGCAGCCTCTGTAGCACTGGTTTGATACTTAAATGCTGGGCGAGGGTCCCACACGGTGCACAGACCTCTCCTGCTACCCGCTGCTCCCCTCAGCAGTGTATTTCATCAGTCTGCCTGTTGTGTTCCCCGCTCTGGTTCTGGTGAATTCTCTCACTCTCTTGCGCTTCTGAATGTACCCAGTGCTTGTACAAATAAATAAATAAATCTTTTTAAAAAAATTATAAGTCATCTTTACAGACACATCATCCAAAGCAGTGATAGTGAAGGCAAAGATAAACAGTTGGAACTACATCAAATTAAAGAGCTTCTGCACAGCAAAAGAGACAATAACTAAAACAAAGAGAAACCCCACCGACTAGGAGATAATTTTTGCACACAGCACTAATGATAAAGGACTGATCACAAAAATCTACAAAGAGCTGATGAGACTGAACAAAAACAAAGAAAATAATCCAGTCAAAAAATGGGCAGAAGAGCTAAAAAGAAACTTCTCCAAAGAGGAAATACAAATGGCCAACAGGCATATGAAAAAATGTTCAACATCACTTGTAATCAGGGAAATACAAATCAAAACTACAACGAGATACCATCTCACACCAGTGAGAATGGCACATATTATAAAAACTAGCAACAACAAATGTTGGCGAGGATGTGGAGAAAAAGGAACTCTCCTGCATAGCTGGTGGGAGTGAAAACTGGTCCAGCCACTATGGAGAGCTGTGTGGAGATTCCTCAACAACTAAAGATAGAGCTCACATATGATCCAGCAATTCCACTCCTAGGTATTTACCCAAAGGACACAGTTACATCAATTCCAAAGAGCACCTGCACCCCTGTGTTTATAGCAGCACTGTTTACAATAGCTAAGCTTTGGAAACAACCCAAATGCCCAAAAATAGATGACTGGATCAAGAAGATGTGGTACATATACACCATGGAACATTACTCAGCAATCAAAAAAGATAAACACATGCAATTTGCAGCAACATGGATGGAGCTGGAAGGGATCATGGTGAGCAAAATAAGCCAGAAAGAAAAAGAAAAATACTGGATGGTCTCACTCATAGCAGGAATCTAGAAAACCTAAATAAGGGACCAGGAAAAAGAATGACAACCACTATGGAAAGCTGTATGGAGATTACTCAACTACTAAAGATAGAGCTCCCATATGATCCAGCAATTCCACTCCTAGGTATTTACCCAAAGGACACAGAAACATTGATTCCAAAGAGCACCTGCACCCCTGTGTTTATAGCAGCACTATTTTAATAGTAGGCTCAAACCCTTTGTCAGGCTCAAACCCTTTGTCAGAGCTCCATCTCCCTATTTACTGCTCATTTATCCACCTGCCCATTCTTCCATCCATTCATCCCTCCTTCCATCCATCCATCCATCCTCTTCCATCCATCCATCCATTCACTCTTTTGTTTATTCATGCACTTACTTAACAGTTACTTTAAAAAATCCTATATTCAGGCAATAGTGAAACAGAAATAGTAGTATTTGATTTCTAATCCATAAAGGAATATATGCATATAAACAAGGAATTACAGTATTTTATGTATTTTTATTTTTTTATTGGTTATGTGATTTACAAATATTTTTCCCAATCTAGAACTTATCCTTTCATCCTGCTAATGGTGTCGTTTATAGAGCAAGAGTTGTTTATTTTGATGAATTTATTATTTTTTTATTTTATGAATTGTGCTGATGTCATATCTGAAAATAGCTGAACTAAGATAACACATATTTCTCCTCTGTTTTCATCTATAAGCATTAGAGTTTTATCTTTTATAGTGGGGGTGATAATCCATTTTGAGTAAATTTTGGTATAAGTTGTAAAGTATGGATCAAAGTTTTCTGTATATGGAGAGCCAGTTGTCCCAGCACTATTAAAAATCAATGAGCTATATCTAGGTGGATTTATGGGTTTCTCTATTCTATTCCATAGATCTATTTTTCTGCCATTTTCAGAGTCATGATTACTATAAGTTTGTAGGAAGTATTAAAATGACATAGATGGGGCCTTCCTGGTTGCGCAATGGGTTAAGCACCCCATTATGAGGCAATCCTCAGCCGGCCAGGGAGCAACCCACATGGTGCCGCAGACCTCTCCTTTCTCGCCTGCTGCTCCCCTCAGCAGTGTATTTCAGTCAGTCTGCCTGTTGTGTTCCCCACTCTGTCTCTGGTTAATCTTCTCACCCTCCACATCTCTGGCCTTTACCCTAGCCCTTGTATGCATAAATAAATAAATCTTTAAAAAAAAATGACATAGATGAATTCTCCAATTTTGTTCTCTTTCACCTTGGGCTATTCAAGTTCTCTTGCCATTCCATATAAAGCTTGTAATCAGCGTGTTGGAGTCTACAAAAAAAACTATGCTGTGGTTTTTATTGAGATTGACATGGATATGTAAGTCAAATTTGGAGAGAATTGACATCTTAATAATGTTAAATTTCTGCATATAAAGTTTTGTATATCTATATCTTCTATAATTTCTTTCATCAGTGTTTGTAATTTTCAGTATATAGATTTTGCACAATTTTATGCAACTTTAATACCTAGCTAGAAGTTTCCTCCATGAACAAGAAACTTATATGAGAGACTAGTTTGTTCTTCCTCAGGAAGCCAAGAAATCCTCACACCATAGGAAATGGGCCTTCATGAAGGAGCAAAGATCAATTCATGGAAACAACTAGGAGCAGAATTTAGGGGTGAGAGAGGCAGAAGTAAATGTAGTAGAGAGGGCCATGCTAGAGTTTGGGGCCTCAGGGTCAAGCAGATGTAACTTTGAAAAGGATCCTTGGAGCCAGTATTGGAAGATCCTGAATGTCATGCTAAGGCATTTGGATGTTTTATTTGAAACAGGCAGACAATGTTGCCTGGGGACTCTGGGTACAGGAGACAATCATGTTTCTGCAGGCTTTCTGGCTGTTCGACTGGTAGAGCAGGGAAAGCCTCAGACCCACAGACAACTGTCTGTGTGTATAGTGACCTATCCTGGAGCACTGGGCATCCATGTAGGGTTCTGACACATTGTCAGGGGGTTTTGGGGGGGCTGCTCAAGTAAAAAGATATAACTATGAGAGGCAGTAACATATGCAAGTTGTATACGGGGGACATCTTAACAAGTTTTCATGTCAGGAATGTCCCTCTTAATTTGTGACCTCAGAGGTTGCACTGTGGGGTGGTGATCAAGAATGGGAGAAGGGGATAGTCAATTGCTGAGCAGTGGAGTTTTACAGAGTATGCAAAGTAGGCTCTAAGTGGCTAAAACTCTGCTAATTCAGGCTGTTTTTTAAACAGTTAAATGTGTAAAACTAAATTTGGTGCCTGTAGATTATTGAGCTAAAAGGTTTCAGCTTGCAGTGAAAAAATCAAGCAATCCGGAGCCAATACGCAAAGACTATGGATGGCTCGTTTACGTAAAACCCATGAAGGCACAGCAGCACCATGCCTATGGCCCTGTCCCCTCGCCAAGCACAGGCACACACTCATGGCAGGGCTCACCAGAAGACCCAAAACTGAGATACAGATACGCATATCATGTTAATATTGAGATATCCTCTATAATTTAATGTCAATTATTCTTTTTTTAAAGATTTATTTACTATGCATTAAAGACCTGGGGTACAGACCAGAGATGCAGGGTGAGAGGATTCACCAGAGACAGAGTGGGGAGCAGAACAGGCAGACTGACTGAAATACACTGCTGAGGGGAGCAGCGGGCGAGACAGGAGAGGTCTGCTTCACCAGGTGTGTTTCTCCCGGGCCGGCCGGGCATCGAACTCATGCTGCAGAGGCTGCGGACTTCTTCATAGTGTTGCTTAACCCCTTGCACCACCAGGGAGGCCTAATGTCCATTATTCTTTTAGGTAGAATTTAGTTTCATTCGTAAGAGACTTTTTCATGATGATTTTTGCTAAGCAATTGCTATTTTTTAAATGTTCACAAAATGACATCATCAGATATAAACCTCATTTTCTTGAAACAAAGCTTCTTTTTTATTTGCTAACACAAAATTTATCTTTATTTTCTCTCTTCCCCAGATGAGGGGTTATCTCATGATTTTTGCCCCAAAAAGAAAATCCTTTCAAAGAATTTTTTTTGTGAGACTTAAAGATGTGACTTCCTACATCTGGGGGAAGGCGCTCATCCTTCTGGGACTAGGAAGGTCTGAAGTGGAAGAGAATGAAGTGGCTGAAGATCACGTAAGCTGTGGGATATTGGGTTAATGAGTAAATAACATGTTCAAGATGCTGAATTCATTTTAGGATTTTGCTTTTTAGTTATTACATCATAATTATGATTCTGTGCCAAATGTTGCAAATCACAGAATTTTCACTTATAATTCCTAACACTTTATAGATTATCAAACACAGTTTCCTCTTTTAACTCATTATGTCCTTAGAATGATCTATAAGGTTGGAAAGATAGAGTTTGTATGATTCTCTCCACACCCAACACATGCCCAACTCAGATGCTTTGACTTAGTCGTTCACTTTTGGTTCCTGTTACTAGATCAAAACTCTCACCAAAACATGGAGCATTAGGTAAAGTGTTTAAGTATCATCACCCCTGACCTAAATGCAAGAATTTGTCCACTTAACACCCAACTATTTTCTATGCAGATACATAGGCATCACCCAGCATAGTTAAAAAGCCAATTATTTGTAATCATATTGCCCGTTTTTATAGGACTTCATAGTTTATAATGTACTTTCCCAAACTTTATCACCTTTAAATCCATTTAATAGTCCTTCATGTAGACATTATGAATCATAACACTTATGTACAGACCTGTGTAAGAGATCATGAATGTGGTGTGGATATGCATACTTGCATATGACATCATGAATGGGGGAACTGAGATGTGAAGATTTAGGCCCAGCACCTGGGTCCTGACTCCTGGGTGCAGTGTGTTTTCTAATAAAGTACAATCTCATCTAAAGTCCATACCATGAAATACTTCAGATAATGAGGAAAGAAGAAAAATTAGGTCCTTGGATGCATTAACTATTCTAATTTTCTTCCCTTTAGAGTTATTATCTGGATGAATTTGCAGATCTAGTAGATGAACTTCTGTTGAAGATTAATGGCTTATCTGACAGCCTACAGCTCCCTCTTCTAGAACAAAAATCTAATAATACATTGGAGGCCAGGGAAGAAGATAGTCCCTTGGTGGGTGTTTCTGTTACTGGAATAAACAAGTGAAAAATTAATTTTATCAGTTTTCTTGATAGCATTTTTTTAAGTACTAAAGGAGATTCAAAATAGCTGTTGTTTCAAATCCTGAGGTCTATTTGCACAAGCATTCTCCAATGATTAGTAATACTGATGATGAACTAAATGTATGATGTGACTTCCAGTTTTAAATGGTGGCAAAAATATCTGTGGTACCTCTGAAAGAGTGGTGCACTAGTGCCTGATCCTCTGGCACCATCTCTGTAAGATCTATCAACCTTTGACCTGTGCCTGGTGCCTCTACAGAGCTATCACACTAGTGCCTGATCGTCCACATCACCACCTGCTGATCTGACTAGTATTGACTGGCATAGCTGACCTTTGCCTAGTCACTCTAAGACCTGTCCACTACTGCCTAAGCACCATTCCTGCCTCCAGCATGAACGGTATCACAATCTGGTGTCCATCACTGCCCACCCCAGCCTTCAGATTGCTGCTGCTGACTACAGAGCTACCTCAGAAGTGTCACCTATGATCACCTCCAGCTTCCACTGTGAGTTGGGTCCTGTTTCACCACTCATCAGTGTGTCAATAGCTCCAAGCTCTCATTGAAAGGACAAAATCATCTTATATGAGCAACTTTTGGTTTGAACTACTGGACACTGTTGTATGGTATGGACAGCCAGCCATGTGACCTTAGAAACTTTTTCCCAATTTCCCCTTGTTAATCAACCTTGTTGTTTGTTGCACTCTGAGCCTGAGTGGTGTCTTGCAGTTGCAAGGACACAGGTGAGGACCCACAAACCATGACATCCCCCAAATTTGCATGGTTTCATACCCATTCATTTTTTTTCCCTCACAGAAAGGAAAGTGAAAGATACATGGGATATTTGAAAAAAACTAAACAAATTCAGATTTTAAAAAAGTCAAAATAAATTTATTTAGTATTTGTGTAAAAGAATATATGTGGTAGTCAGACAAAGATGAACATGCATAAGACTGTAAAAGGATATGTATAACTGGTATCTCCCTCTATCTTAAAAAATAAAAAGAAAAGTTTAACAGAAAAAAATATTTCAAGATGTATTTAAAAAATCTTTCGGGGCCTCCCTGGTGGCACAGGGCTTAAGTCTCAGCACAATCAAGCTATCACCAGCCATTGCTGCATGATTTCCATCCCCAGGCAGGGAGCTAACCACATGATGAAGCAGACCTCTCCTGTCTCGCCTGCTGCTCCCCTCAGCAGTGTATTTCAGTCAGTCTGCCTATTCTGCACCCCACTCTGTCTCTGGTGAATCCTCACCCCCTGCACCTCTGACCTATACTCCAATTCTTATATGCATAAATAAATAAAAATAAATCTTAAAAAACTTTCCTGAAATAAAGATATAGATCTACATATTTCAATTGGAGTAATATTTCAGGATATAAATTGATTCAAATCTTAAAACCAGAACAAATTCTCTCTTTTTTTTGTTTGTATAGAAGAATTGTGGTGTAGGCCAAAGTTTCAGGGGAGGTTGAGAGGATTCACCAGAGACACAGTGGGGAGCAACAGAACAGGCAAATTTATTGAAATACACTGCTAAGGGGAGCAGCAGGTGAGACAGGAGAGGTCTGCTGCATCTTATGTGGGTATGTGGCTTAGCTCCCTGAACAGGGATCCAACTCAGGCTGTAGCAGTGATAGATAGCACTGAGACTGAACCTGTAGGCCACCAGGGAGACCCTAAAACCAGGTCAATTCTTATAAAGTTACTGAATTTAGAAAATAGATATAATCCTCTTGCTATCAAAATACTTTCACTATCCACAAAAATCAAGTCGCCTCCAGATGTTAAAATTGTTATTTAAATTATTTAAAAGTTATTTTTAGTTATTATTTAAATGTTCACATCAATAGAAAATTAGGCAAAATATAAGAAAACATAATTTTTTGGTAAAAAGAAACAATCATCAGCTATGTAAAAATAGAAAAAAGTATATATGAAAAGAAAAAAGATAGAATTCCACTTAATATCTTTGTAATATGAAAAAATAATGAAAAATTAATCAACACTTTTAGATGGCACTATGTGTTTTTATTCTTACTCTAATATTACTATTGTTATTTCTTGATTCCCTGATTGAGACAAAGAGATTTTCATTCTGCTAAATTGGAGTCTAGAGAAAAATCTATGGTGTATTCAATGGAGCAACAAAAATGAAAGTAAAGTGCAGGGCCTCCCCGGTGGCACAGCGGTTGAGCGCTGGGTTGCGAAGCTGCCCGCAGCCTCTGCAGCGCTGGTTCGATCCCCGGCTGCTCCCCGGCCACCGGAGGAGGGTCCCACATGGCGCGCAGACCTCTCCTGCCGCCCGCTGCTCCCCTCAGCAGTGTACTTTGGTCCTTCTGCCTGCTCTGCTCCCTGCTCTAGCTCTGGTGAATTCTCTCAACCTCCCGCGCTTCTGACTGTACCCAGTGCATGTATAAACAAACAAACAAACAAACAAACAAACAAACAAATAGTACATGCCTCTTTAAAAAAATAAAAAAAAAAAAGAAAGTAAAGTGCATTATGCATGAAATTCAAATAGGAGAAAATATCACATGCACATGCACTCACACTCAAACTAAGCAAAGCAGAAGGAATTTGCAAAGATGAAAATGCAACTGAATTAAATCAGCAGAAAGTATAAATTAATCCAAGAAATGATTCTTTTAACAAATAGTTAAATTATTAGTTAATGTATAGCTAAATATGATGGAAAATGAGTACAATAAACATAGTACAATATGTATACAAAGGGAAAAGAGAAAATTATAAACATTTGGGAAGAGAGGATGGCTGAACATACTTACCCGCTAGGCTGACCTGAGTAGAGATTTCTAAATCCTTATGTACTTGAACACACATCTTCCTGAAAGCGTCTTTGCCCAGAGGTGAAATACGCTAAACTATTAAGGATATAGTTCCAAATGCTCTTCAAACTGTTTCAGATAGTAGATCTAGAGGAAAAAGCTTCCAGATATGTTTTTATAAAATAGAGCAATATATTGGTATCAAAATTGGACTAAAATATCACAAATAGTGAAAGACAATACAAATACATACCCATCCCAATGATTTTGATATGAAAAAAAAATCTAAATAAAACACTGGCAAATAGAATCCATCATCAAGTGCAAAGAATAGTAGCCCATGAATATATGCATTTTATATTAGGAATTGGAAACCTTTTTAAATATTTGAAAATATATTAATAGCCTTCACCAAAATGTTGAGGAAGTTATCATTTGATTTCCTCATGTTTGCATTTAATTCCACAGCCATTCCTACTTATCTTTTTATAGCACATTCAGTGTCAGCCCCAGTTTTGTCAGATGGGTGGAAGCACACCCCGCCCCATGCAACCCTTAGGAATTCTGAGACGTTTTAAAATATAGCTGCCCTCTCTGGATTAGGGATCATCTTTGTTTCCATCCCTTGTATGTGCAATCCTGGTTATAGGACTATTACCCCAGTTAGAAAAAAGAAAGGATTGAGGTGAACTGGGGAAGAAAGAGGAAAAGCAAGTATATTCATTATTGTTGCACCCCCTCCCTAGGAAGAAGATAATCATATGAGCAACCTCCTCCCCCAGTCCTCATCCCCAGATTCACCAGAAAAAATTGAGACTTCCCTCCCTGGGGACAGTCCTGTAGCTCCCTCATGTTCATGATGAGTGTGATGAGCTCACACAGGTGAAACTGGTGAAACCGTGTCAGCCAACACTCATGCTTTTACTTCTCCATATTTTGGACAATTGACGTTTTAATGGCATGTTCTAATTCTTCATCAAACCAATTATCTGGGTAGGGTATCTTTCTGCCCATTTTCAACTAGTCTGAAGAAAGGACAATGGTGGGCCCTCCAAATTGGGGTGCTATTTTAAGTTTTTTTTTTTTAGCACTGAGTGTTTATGTCTAACCCCACCCGGGAAGGAAAGCAGTATCTATCTTATCAGGACCCACTTGTAACCCACTTGTAACTCTTAATATGAACAAATTGATATAATTTTTTCAAAATAAGATTATATCTCAGAAGTCTGCCTTATGTCTAATGGTATAATACCACAATAACTCTTTAAAGGGATATAGATAATTTCACTCTTAGTAAGGGCTGTTTCCCTTCTCATACTTAATAACTAGGAATGCAGTTCAAATAACAAAACACACAAACTCATGCTTGCATGCACATACAAACTATGCACACTTTTCTTGTTTATATATTTACTAACTTGTTTAGCTAGAGGGAGCTTCAACTTAAGTTTAAGTTTATAGTATGATTGGTAGTTTTGTAAACAACATAGCCTGTGTGAATTCTGGTACAATCACTACTATATTCATTAGGCTAATTTCCTAAGACTGAGAAAATAATTTCACCCACTGATAATGGAGGCTAATAGACCTATCTCTCAACTTATTGCAATAAGCCAGTGTTGCCAGGGGCAGATCTCTCACCTGGCTCCCTGTGTGTCTGTGCCTGTAGAACTCATGTTTCTGCAAAATGTGAGTATAGCTGGCCACGAGTGGGCTAGAACACAGAATGTACTTGGCATTCAAACGGGTCCAGCAAACTAGGCTTCCCAGAATAGATCTGTTTTTATATGATGTGATCCGAGAAAAGAACCCATTTGAATTTCCTAACTTGAGGCTGCTATTTTTTCATCTTTACCATTAATAACTAAGATTTGTATCTTTATTAACTGGAAAGAGTAGAGGCTTAGCGCTATCAATAACCACCTACAAATTCTATTGTTCTTTGTATTTTCTAAGTGACTCACTGCAGCAAAATGCTGTGGGGTTGCCAGCTCAGCTCCTGTAACATCCCTTGGCTCTTTCTCTTCAGCTCTGTCAGTTTGTACCAGAAGAAAAGCCCCAAGCCAGTGGGGGTTTCTCACTGAGCAGAAGGATTTTTCCAGAAGGATTTTCCTGGGGCTCCCAGGCCTCGCTCCCTCAGGTCACTGAGATACAGGTGCAACTTAGAAATGCCAGACAGGCTTTTTCCCCCATCTTTGATTCACTTTTTTGAATACACTTGAGTAATACAGGAA